ATAAGGGAGGAGTGGTGCAAACTGTCTGCCTCGCTTATAATAAGGCTTTTGACACAGTCAAAAATTATAGTCTAGGCAGATGGACTCAGTGGGTGAAACGCTGGTTGGATCATCCGGTTCAAAGAGTGGTGGTTGATGGTTCATACTCCACCTGGAAGCTGGTTGCAAGTGGAGTTCCTCAGGGATCTGTGCTGCAGCCTGTCCTGATGGGTATCTGTGTGTGAGCTGGCAGGGAGGCAGAGTGTTCCTCCGTCACTTTGTGGGTGACCCCAAACTCTAGGAGAGCAGGTGATACGCTGGAGGCCAAGGCCACCATTCAGAAGGACCTTAGAAAGGGCCAGCAAGAAACTCGTGAAGGTCAAGAGGGACAAATGACAGTAATGGTAGAGGTGGGCCTGCCGGACTGGGGGCAGCTCTGCAAAACTCTCCGGCGGGTTTCGGGACACACAGAGCTGAGTAGGAGCCAGGCATGTGTCCTGGCAGCCCAGAAGGCCAGCACTCTGTTGGACAGTATAAGCATCTTCCTTGGAAGAGATCCCTTCCAGGCATGATAACCCTTCCAAGCATTCTGTGATGCTGTGGTGGGATGGTGAGGGAGAATGGTCAGAAGTTGACACACTTGACATTCAGCCTTGAAACAAGGGGAACATTTAAGACTGAGAGAGCTCGAGAAGAGAAGGCTGAGAGGGGACCTTGTCAGTGTGTATAAATTCCTCAAGGGAGGCTGTGAGGAGAAGGGGGCCGCCTCTTTTCAGTGGTGACCACCGATAGGACTAGAGGAAACGGCCACAAGCTGAAGCACCAAAGTTCCACAGGAACTTAAGGAAACATTTCTTGACAGTGAGGGTACCAGAGTCCTGGAACAGGCTGCCCAGAGAGGTTGTGGAGTCTCCTTCTCTGGAGATCTTCCAGAGCTGCTTGGACGCAGCCTGTGCCACATGCTCGAGGTGACCCTGCGTGTGCGGGGGAGTTGGACTGGATGGTCTCAGGAGGTCCCTTCCAACCTTAACCATTCTATGATTCTGTGATTTTTGCCCCTGGAGAACAGTCCAGCACTGGAGCAGGGCTCTGGAGAGGTGTTGGAGACTCTGCCCCGGAGGTGTTGAAGCCTGGAGCAACCTGCTGTAATCTCCTGGGTGACACTCTTAGAGCAGAGGGTTGGACTAAAGATCTGCAAGGACATCTAACATCAGATGAAAAATCTTTCTAACTGAAATAGGCAGGAAAAGAGGAGGAGATGATTTAAATGCTTTGCTGTCGACATCCCCAATACCAACTTTGCTTTTGTAGCATCTAAAAGAGCTTAACTGTGATCTGAGTGGCAATACCCCTTTGCCCCCAGCCCCGAAAAAATGATCCTTTTCTGTTGACTCATGGTTGTTGATTTTTTTCGTAGTATTCTTGGTCCTAAAAAACAGAGCAAAAGAAATGACAAAAAATACTTCTAGATAGTTTCTGTTGTGGCTCATCAGAGTACCTCATAAACGGAGTGAAAATGAAAACTTTTGGCCAAAATTCTAATTTATTATGCCATGTTTTGCTATTGTCAAGAAAGCAGATACGTTTGCATTTGTGCTGTTTGTACCATATAAAAGAACTTTAATAGGAAGTCATATTTTAGAGAGTAAAGCAGCCGTCCTCATCTTTAGGTGATGTGTTAAGTGCAAGTTCTAGTCTCCCTACATGCCTACAGGTAGCTTGGATGCTGGCTAACATGTACTAAACTTTATTTAAACTTTAAATTTAAATTTTACATTTAATTTTAAAGTCTATTACTTTAATAAAGTTTATTTTTTTAAAAAATGATTTTATGCTGGCTTTCCAGCACAGAGTCATAGTGCAACAAAAGAGGCTGTTTGTGTATTTTCAAGTTCTGCTACAGAAACAATATGATCTAAATATTTAATCAGGCTTAGCAAAATTGGCTTTTTTATGACTGCAGATTAATCTAGTTCTCTGAGATTATACATGTGACATGTATGTCCTGAAGACCATACCTTTTCTAAATAATGTTAAAAGACTTACAGCCTTCTTAAAACTTGGTGGGCACTGAGATTGTGAATAACAGTTACTTAAGTATTCATATTAGAACTTTATTGTCTTTTGAATCCTGGGTATGTGGCTTCAGAGTATACTGAATTTACTGAGAGGTTAGTGGATACTGTCTATTAGCTGACTGCTCTTCTATTTCATCCTCAATTTGCTTCAGTTCTCCATTAGAATAGATTTTGGCATGGTTCTTTTTGTTCGTCTTTGATATATTTAATATTAAAACTTCAGCTGACTTCAGTGTAGAAGATCTCTACTTTCTTGTTGGATAATGAAGATTTTAAGCGACTTCGCATGTTCTTCTTGCTATTGTCTTGTTTAAGAAAATGCATCTTGTACAACATAGAAAAGAATTAACCTTGGACTAAGTTCAGAGCCACGGGTTCTTCTCAGAGCAAGGCAAAAGTCCCACGTGTTTCATGCGTGGTCCTCGGAGGACGTCCAGACCCTCCAGGGAAGCCAGGAAAGCTGCAGGAGGCCAATGGTTCACACGTGGTAGTGCAGCTATGCAGGTACATTGAGGGTGAGAGTATACATATGTATATGTATAGAGAGATACATTTTTGTAAATCCTGTAGATTTTTTAATATAATCTGGAGATGCTTCTGTTCAGCCTGAAATACTGGAAACAACAACAAAAAAAAAGAGTTATATTTAATTATAGCTGTAGTAGCTACCAGAATATTAATTTCTGTCATACAAAATAAGTCTTCTTTCAAACTCAAGACCTATGATTAACCTAAATCTATGTATCTCGAGAATGAGTTAAGTCTTGTTTTTATTTGGATTTAGCTTGGGTTATTTAATAGTGAAAACGCTTCCTCTGTAATTCAAGGTAAGCTATCCTGGTTATGTGGCCATGGTGTGAGATAGTAAAGATGGGTTTGGGGAATTGGGTTACTGTTGGCAGCAGTTTAAAGTCAGACCTCCGAGTAAACAAGTTCAGCTCTAAATATAGGGCTGATCTTGCCCTCCTTATTTGAAGCCTTGGAAGGGAGGTAATAGCCGGTCCCCTGAGCTGTCCCACCATGATGTTTCTGGGTGTCTTCTCCTGTTGGGTGCCCTTCCCATCACCATCCTCACGTGCCTGGGATCAAGTCTGCTTTGGGGACTTTGTATCCGTGAGATTTGTGAGAAGAGATTGAGAAGATCAGTCAAAAATAAATTCAGCAAAAATGCTTATATATGGAAAAGATAAACTAGGATTTCTGCCAATGAATTGCCAAAAAGGGCTGTGTGTTTCTCAAGGTTCTTGAGCGCTTTCATATAAGCACTTGCATCAAACTCGGAGTGAAAGCTACTGAAGTAACCCCAAGAAAGAGAACGGTGGTGATGAAGTCTTGGGTTGGGGCTTCACTGGGTGCACCCCAGATGAAGGAATCATAGCCCATCTTTGCCCAAGGTGCACAAGGAATTTAATCCCCTGCGGGAACATTTTAGCTCCACAGAGGGGTCACAGTGGATAACAGCCCATGAAATGCAGACAGTTGGGGTGAGTAGATGACGCATCAGGTTTGAAGGAATGAAGGTAGGAAGTGGCAGTTTCTGAATCTGGAGGGGGTTACAGACCAGTGCTCAGATACTCACGGCCTCACTCCAAGGTCACTGAAAGAGTCTTTGTTTCAAGAATTGCTTCTTCTCCACTCCCTGCACTGGTGGAGGTGCTGCCCTTAGCAGGCTGATCTACCTTAGTGCTCCAGGTGTGTGTCCAGGCTGGAGAGCAAGCCAGGCTGCAACGCGTGCAGCAGCATCTGCTAAGAGCATCATCGCCGCTGCTTGTAGCAGGTGTCTCACCCCAAGAGGTTTAAGAAAGTCTACTCTAAAACTGAGATAACCTGGAAAGGGAGGATCCAGACTTGGCTTCTCTTCCCCAGTAAAAGAGGATTTAAACCATAATGACGTAAAAGTATTTCAACAAGCAAGATTCTACCAAGCATGTGGAGCACTGCTCAACGTTCAGGAGGTACCAAATTGTGAAAGCTGTGCTGATTACATGAAATTTCTTCACTGATTGCTTTTTAGCAGAAATATTAGGCTGTTCAAGAGACTTTCTGGAGGATTTGTCCCACTGGGCAGAGCTCCTTATGTGACCTGATATATGCCATGCACATGATGTACACTGCTTTATAATGCAGGGAAGTATTTTCTATGCAGAACCTGTAATGTACTCTGGGCCTATATGGTGTATGTGCCTTGTCTGTGATAGACTGCATCTCTGTTTAGCTATCAACTGCTCTGATTAGTTTATTCTCCATTGCACTGTGCGTGGGAGGACATCCTGTGTGTCAGTGGCAAGAAGGTCTCTTACTCAAGAGTATTCAGTATGAAAGTTAAATATTTTTGCAGTTACTCCAGAGCTTTTCCATGAAAATGATTGCAAAAGCTTTGTTGTAAATGAGCTGACCAGCTCTGAAGCGCTGCTGCTCTGTTGTGCCCAAGCACGTGGGTTTAAGAACTGGAATTAACTTCTGGGCCAGTCTAGGGGGTCGTAGCTTGCAGAGCATTTCACAGTACGCACTAATTTCGTATCACTGTTTTTTTCCCCCTGAAGTGACATGTCACATTTCTATGAGTCAGTTAAATTTTGTGGATATTCCCAATTTTTAAGGGGAAACTAAACCAGGTCCTGTACGTTCACGTTTTCATGGTATGTTGAGAGATGTAGAAATGCTCCTGAACCCTACCAACCACCACAACAAAATGCAGTTACTGGTGTCCGTAAGGGGTGAGGTTTGGCACAGTCCCCTTGCAGTCCTGACCAGACCCGTGCACGGCCACCCGCCAACAGCTCCCGCTGTCCTTTGAAACTTATTTCCCAAAAACCTGCCGCGTTGCCTATTCAGGCATCTCCCATTGCCTCTTGGCGCACAGATGTTCGATTGCATTGGCTTTCCTAAAGGAAAATACCTCTCTCTCTCTCTGTTTTTTCTCCCTTTACCCTTGTCTTGCAGTTATACCTGCCGCCACTTGCGGAGATATGTCTATGTCTTGGACAAACTGTATTTCCCCCCCTCGCACTGCTCGACGCTGCAGCATTGCTTCTCGAGCCTCAGTGACAGTGGAGAGGAGCTCTTGTCTTTAACTTGCTCTCACATTCTCAGGTCCTATGCCTCCAGGTTATTAACCTCTGCTCTCCCTCTATTGCATGCTGCATGTCCCGGGATGCTCTTTGCATGTTGGAGCGCACAGGCGAAGCCACCAAAGGGGACGCTTTGCATCTGGGAGGTGTCCGTGTTGGGGGGCCTAAAAATGCAGCAGAAATGGGGATTTGGGTTTTTTTTTTTTTTCTTTTTTTTCAATTCTACATACTTTGATTGAGCACAACCTATGGAATTAGTGGGTGGCCTTTGGAAGTTTTCCCTGCTTTCCGTGTTGGGATCAAAACATATTAACCTTTTCCCCAGGCTGTCGCTTAAGAAGTGCACAGTGCAGACACTAATGCAATTTGCTTGCAGTTGGTGCAGGGACATCAGCTGTCTTCTGATGCTTCCCTGACACCCAGTGTCTCCGTAGCACTATATATATATGTTGCTTTTCAAGAATGGAAGCAATAGAACTTTTTTCCTCAAATTCAGTAAATTGGCACGGTACTATGATACTTAAATTTGAGAACTGCCTTTTTTTTCTTTGACCATATACTTTCTCAGTGCTGATTATTTAGAACAGCAGTAAGAATCCATCAGCGCAGAATGACCCTAAAAAGTCACTGTTCCTGCTGCAGAATTATAGATGCTGCTCAGAAATCATAAAATAGCAGGCATTTAAAAATGAATTTGACTTACATTACCCAGATGTTTTCTGCAAGACTTTCACATAAAATTTAAGTAAAACACAACTTTTACTATTTCACTGTTGATGCTGTGGATAATTTAATGTACTAACCAAGATGCTAGAAGTTTTAGGGAAGCGAGGAAAAAATTGCATGACAAAATTGACCAGAAGATGGAAAGCATCCAGAGTGGAAATGGAGCTTCCCAGTGAAGCCAGCGTACAATGGGAACGGACCACACAGTGCACATAAGTAAAACCAGCTTGATTGTCGGGGGAAGGAAATACGGCCTGTGAGCCCCACCAGCTCCTGCTGTACAAAGGAAATTTTATAGTAGTGCGGAATGAGGGGGAGTTGCACTCCCGGGAGGTGAAAATGTGGCTGTCCCCAAGGCATCTTCCGGGTTGATTTGGAGCAGGGGTCAGCGTTAAAGCAAGGAAAACGCTAAAATTTCAGAAGTCTTGAGTAATGTGGATAATAAGAGTGAAGAATAATAATAATATTGAAGGCAGTGAACATAAAACTTGCACTCAAGAAGGAATGTTACTCATGTAGGAGTGATATACGGGAGGCGTACAGGGAGTGGCTAAGTTATTCCAGCTTGTTGACACACAGTTTTGGTCACTCTGTGATGGAAGTGCTACGACATTACTTAGCAAGACCGTCCCTAGGAGATGGGATAGTCCGTCTTTTGGAAAGCTGCGTGGTGCAGCCGCTGGCATGGGTGGTTCGGACCACGTCTCACAGAGGTGGCAGCAAGGAACCGAAGGAGAAGGCAGCTCCCAGTCACAGAGGGGGCATTTCCAGCCTCTTGCTTCCAACCCTTGCGACGCCCCATGCGACAAGGGTGGTTTTTTAGCATCCCCACTGCTCACCCTGGATGACTTTGCTGGATTTGATGTGGTCCAGGTGGTGGAAGGCGCTGAGCGTACCTGCAGTATGGTTTTACCCCGGGATATAAAAACACATAGGGAATAGAAATTACCATTAAATTGGCCCTCAGCACAGTCGGGTTTTTCTTGCAGACAGTAAGTGATGGCTGAATTGGGTGACTGCATCTTTTTAAATTACCTTTTGTGAGGAGGTGGGAGAAGCTCCAGATTCATACGTTGTACAATTTGTGTAGCATCTTCCTCACAAAATTAATGTTATTTAAATACAAATCCTAGGCAGCAACTTAGAATTGTAAACAATTTACAGCTAAGAAAAAATGAAGGGGGTGAGAAAAATAGCATTGCTTAGTACACAGATTTATTTTCATAAATGAAGCCATAATTTGTTGCTACTATTCTTGAGTTGTGCATCACTTGAGATATATGAAAATATTTCAGCCCAGGAGATTTTAATCTCTCTAGTTTACTTTAAAAGCTGTGCTTTTATGAGATAAAAGAAGGTTATTATTACATGCAGGGTGCTTTAAATGAAAATCGCTCTGCAGGAAAATACGCAGGGAGCAGTTTTTATTAGCAGGTTTTGGTATGTTCTGGAATTGTAGGGCTTGGGAAGTGATTTGGGAAGCCTTCCAGTGTGTTCAGGCTCACCTAAGTCTAGGTAGTTCAGTGTAGTGGCATACATGGAGCTGGCAAAAAAAAAAAAAAAAAAAAAAAATCTTTTTTTCTTGTAAACAGATGAATCTCCACCCTGAGTTAACTGCACATGAACAGCGAGGTTTTAATGCCTGATCGCATCCCATTTCTGTCCTAAATCTCTTTGGGATTCAGTCAATCCTGGGAAATGCTTTTTGATACTGAACCTGGCTCTGCTCACCTGCAAGCCAAGGGTGGCTGCCAAGCCCCCGTCTCTTTTGGGGTGTTTAGCAAGTTAAGGGCAGTTTTATTTTCGTAGCCAGCTTGACACTGGGCATGTGGAAGCAGAAACACGGTTTCACTGCACTGGTAAGGCGAGTAAACGTGGTGGGGAGCAATAGAGCAAACAGACCAATTGCCTGGGTTCAGTTGAGTTCTGCTTTTTGCCCCAAAAACGGAGGCCAAGGAACATGTCAGCTCTGCCTGGATGCCCCATTCTGCATGTCCTTAATAATGCCCCGTGTCAGGATATGGATTGTGGATTGAGCGGGCGGGAAAGGCGGCCGAGCGCAGTCACAGAGATGGAGATGGAAGATTTGTGCATCTGACCTGTGCTTTTAGGCATCGGTCTCCAAAGGGAAGCTGGGGGCAAATACAGAGCAGGAATATTTATCATTGACCATTTAAGTGAATTTTGGGTGGATTTGTGAATGGAATAGTGCATCAATTACTCAGAATTGCCTCAAATGGATTTGTGTGGTGTGAGCATTCCTTTGCATTCAGTTTTTAAGCAGTTAATGCAGAAGTCTCACCATAAGCTAGTGCAAATAAACGAGATTTTAAGGAGATTTTAACAACTCATCGGCCTTACCTGGGTAATAGCTTAGCCCAGAAAATATGGGACTGAGATCTTGAAGATGAATCTGTGGCCAAACCAGTGTAGAAATGAAGCTCTAGGCTCAACAGATAGAGGAACTACTTAAGTCTTCGCTTTGTTGCAAGATCATTCAAGGAATATCTGGTAAAGAAGCAAAATAATTTGTGATGTAGTAGCTGGATCTTCCCTAAAAGGTTTTAAAGTCTTGATATTCCTACCCATGGTTTGCTGCTCTTTCCCTTTTTGTAAGTAGTTGCACTAACATTAGAAGTGGAATAATGAAAATAGCAGAGTTTGTGCCTCTTACGATAGAGAAATAGCTTCATATATCACTGGAAAAGAACACTTATTTTTGGCATGGTACTTAACAGTTAAAAACTTTTTTTTTTACTTTCTTTTTGTCGTGCCAAAATTGATAGAAGTCTTGGTAGATTTAAGTACCTCCCTAAAATAAATGAACTTGATACTCCTTTTTGGCAAATACTGGAAAAAGTGGGGTGCTTATTTTTTATTTTTTATTTTTTTTAATTTTTTAATTTTTTAATTTTTTAATTTTTATTTTTTTATTTTTAATTTTTAATTTTTTTTATTTTTTATTTCTTTACATTTTTATTTATTTATTTTTCATTTTTTTGCTGGCTGCCAGACATTTCAGTAAGGGTCTGTACCTTGTCCCTGAAAGTGGCATTGATGAAAGGGGCAGGTCCCACAGAGCCCTTCCCTTCCCGCTCTCTGCTCCGCATCGTGCCAAGCCAGAAGGCAGAGGAGACCGGAACTGCTGCCAGTTCAGGAATGTCACTAGCGCGGCGCTACCGCAGTGTATAATTAAGGGCTGGGAAATCTGGAAAATTTGGAAGTTTTCCTTTCTGTCAGAGCGTATGTTGTTACTCCTCCAGCTTCTCACATAGATGTTGGAGATCCTGCCTTCTTGTGACAATTAGCAAAGTCTTTCTGCTCGGCAAGCTCCAATTCAACGTTTAATTTGTTTTGAAAGTCGCTTTTGTGTGTGGTACAATGCAGGAGGTGGCTTGAATCATAGGGTGCCTATCCTGTGATAGGAGGACTGTGGGATATGCAGGAGCAGCTTTGTCTGGAGCAGAGAGGAGCCAAGTCCCATATGTCATTTCCACCTCCAACCTAAGCCTTGTCTAAGGGGTTGCCACGGCTCTTAATGCTGTCACCTGCATGCAGAGTTTGGCTTTCAGCTGCTCAGATTGCTGGTGTTTTGCTTAAAAACTCCCGAAGATCCAAAATGCTGTGGTAGACACAAATGCATCCCTGAAATTCAGATCCTTTCATTTTTTTTTCCTTTAGTTTCAAAAAAAAAATCCCAAACAATTCCCAATTTTTGTCAGAGGCCTGCTAAATTCTTACAGCTTAATGTTTTATTGCTTTTTGTTTGTAATTTTTCATCAGCTGTTCGTAATTTTGTGGAAGGGTTTTTCTTAATTAAAGGAGGATCGTTTTACACTCAATGTTGAGAGACTTGGCAGAGGGGAATTGTTTATGAGTAATTCTATTACAAATTATTTGTCTTCATGCTGCATAGCATATTGATCAAGAAACCAGTGAGATATAAAATCAATGCTGTGGGTATTCAGTGGGTGAAAAATATCTTTCTGGTAGGTCTCAAAATACAGTTTAACTGGATGATCATCAAGGAAGGGGGATATTGTCCAGTGGCAACCCTTAGGAGTTGCTTCTTAGCCCCTACCTATTTAAAACATATGTTGAGGATAACGTGGGGAGGAAGCAGTGAGGAATGAACAGGAAGGATTGCTGATATCAAAAAGCAGCAATCTGAGCACGATGCAGGTCGGGAAGGTGTGTTTCCAGACAGCCATGCCTTTGGGATAGGTGGCATTTACTCTGACAAGTCCTGGGCATTGCTAGGAATTTGTTCTGAAATGTTGCAGGAAGCTGAAGGTAAAGGCAGGGTCTAGT